CATTATGCATTGACACTCCTAAACCCCAGAACTTGGATTTTTGTACTTGAGCTCATGAATGAGCATTTCAGATGACTGTATTGTTTAGTTTCAATGGCATCAATATCTTTGTTCACTGGTGTTTGTACATCTATTTGAATAGTTAGTCCTTGACATTTATACATGGAAAAATGAATGTGTCGATGTTAGTGATAAGAAGAATAGATTTTATAGATTTAGTTCACTTGAGACAAAGCTGGAAATCATTAGACATGCTGGAAGGGGTGCATTTTAGCATCAATTACATATTTGGACTTAAGCCTGTTGACTCTGCTCATTTGTAGAAAAAAAAAGATCAAAATTAAAGAACACATATAAAATGCTGGAAAATATATTCCTGAAGAATATATCTGAAAGGTGATGTGAACTAATTCCTTATATAAAAATTAATTCCAGATGGAACAAAATTGAAAGATAAAACAAGGAAACCATAAAAGTACTAGAAAAGTGCACTAGTAGAAAGTATCCTAATCTCAAGTAGGGAAGACTTTTCCAAGCACAGTACAAATAAAATCCAGAAGCCTGGGCACTAGTGGAAGAGTGTACACTGTTAGAGCCTTCAAGAGAAGGATTTAGCAATTCAAATCTAAAAACTTACAGATATGAACCTCTCACCTACTATTCTACTTCTAGGAATTTATTCTAAGGAGATCATCATGGATATACACAAAGATTTACCTAGTATTTATATTGTTTCAAATGATGAAAAATTAGAAAAATCCTAGCGTCTTCTAATTGTCAACTGGTTAAACAGAACAAATCCACACCAACCAAAGATAAGGGGAACATTGGGACTTCCCTGCTGGTCCATTGGTTAAGACTCTAGGTTTCCAATGCAGGGGGCGAGGGTTTGATCCCTGGTCAGGGAACTAAGATCCCACATGCCATGCGGTGCGGCCAAAAAAAAAAATTAATATACACTATTCAACAACTTGCCTTTTTTGCTTATAAATATACTTTGACATCATTCAATGTAAGTTCATAAAGACCTATATCATATCTTTTTAATGGTTGCATAGTATTCCATTGTATAGCTCTATCATAATTTGTTGAATGAGTTTCTTATCAATGAGCATTTATTGGTAACCTAAGTATATGTACTGACACGGAAAGGTGTCCAAATTATATATATATATAGAATGTATATATATTTCCTTTCCTTTCCAGCTCTAAAAATGTATGACTGTGTGTAGATGCACTTTTAATTTAGAGTTGCATGGTTTGGCTCTGAATTATAAGCTATATTATAATTATACTTTTAATGTATACATGTTAATTGCATCTCTCCATCTACTGTAAATTGTAAGCTCTTTGGAATGAGGGGTTATCTTCACTTCTTTGTTTTCCAAAACGCCTATAAAAACGTTTGGCACTCACTTGGGAAAACAATTTAGCAGATGCTAAAAAAGTTAAACATAAGAGTTACCCTCTGCCCCAGCAATCCACTCTTTTACTTACTTAATTCATTAAATTTAAATTTTGAATATGATTCAAAATTTCTGTCTCTTTTACATCAACTATAGTTTTTTTCTTTTTACCTTTTGGCCCCCTTTGCCCAAGTAATAATTTTTTTTAGGAAATCAGGAGGTTTTTTATTCTTCGAAAAAAAGTTTCTTGACATTTAAAAAAAAATCTTGATGAAGATCTTGAAAGGAAATTTCTAATTGCAAGTAATGTCAGTGTCATCTTTTTAAAATTTTTGATTCTGTAAACTTTATATACAAATGAAGCAACCACTAAATTCTACAGCTTTAAAAATTACATACCTGTTACCATCGTTTGACAATTTCATCAAGAGAATATAGATGAGAGCTTAGCCAAAAAATTAAAAACACATCTTTTTGGATTTGGATTTTCTCAGGGGAAATAGCCCACAACACTGCATCTTTTGTTTGAGCATATATGGCATCTCCCCTGAGCCTGGTCTTCTCCACATATGATAGAAATAAGTGTGGAAAAGTAAATGTAGCAAGTATTTGTTTTAGTGAAACCTTTAGAACCTGTGTCTGAGGCTAGATTGGACACTAAGCCCAGGGACTTATAAAGGCCAAGCCTGCGCTCTGAGGTTTCAACCCTTGATATTCCTTATGAGTTGAGAAAAATAATGATTTCACCTTTGTGTGTGTGCAAATTTATGTGTTTTTTTCTCATTTTTTAATTGAAGTATAGTTGATTTACAATATTGTGTTTGTTTCATATGTACAGCATAGTGATTCAGTATTTTTGCAGATTATACTCCATTATAAGTTATTACAACATAATGGGTATAATTGCCTGTGCTATACAGTATATCCTTGTTGCTTACTAAATATATGTTTAAGTTAAAAAGTAAGTTCGACAGTATGTATAGTCTGTCTAAAATTTTGGAAAAGAAAAAAATAAGCTGATTAATATATACACAGAAAAAAAATTTCTGATAAGATGTATATACCCAACTGGTAATAATCATCAGAGATACAGATTGGGACAGGGCAGGGGGCAACATGAGAGGTAGTCATATTTTTGCTATAATTTTCAGCAATATTTGAATGTTTTTACTATGAGAATATTATTTTAGAAGCAGAAAAATATGTAAAAAGTATACAAAGGCAGTATAAGAGTGTTCCTTATAATATGCTTTGAAATAGTGAAAAATTGGATGTCATATACAAGGGATTGGTTAAATAAATTATAATATATCCATATCATGGAATATAATTTAGCTCTTGCCCAAATATAGTATCATCTCACACTTACAAAAGTAACCAGTAATAACAGTATGTTTTTATATAGCTCAAACTGTTAATTATCTCTAGGGATACCTTAACTTTCTGAGTTATTTCTGTAATATGTCAGTTCTTAATGAGCAACATGAATTATTTTTGCAATTGGAATAAAGGACTATTATTTAATGCATATTGAAATTAGGAATTTTATAATATATTTTAGCTCTTAAGAATTAACTACCCTACCCTGTTATATCAGGTAAATCTATTGTTTAACTTTTATGCATTAGACTTTTGTATACATTTCCAGGAATGTATAATGTATTTTAGTTGAAGACTATTTATTTAGATATCACTTTTTTTATCTCTAGATCAGTGCTATCCAATAGAAATTTAATGCAAGCCACATGTGTCATTTTAAATTATCTAATAACTACATTTAAAAAAGTAAAAGGAAACAGGTGCAATTAATTTTAATAATATAATTTATTAACCCAATATATCTAAAATACTATCATTCTGACGTGTAATGAATATAAAAATTATTAATGACATGTTTTACATTCTAATTTTCATACTAAGTCTTTGAAATCTGGTGTGTATTTTTATACTTGCAGTATATCTCAATTTGGATGCTAAATTTCAACAGTTAAAATGTCCTACCAAAATATTACATTGTTTTTAAAGGAAGAATATTTTACACTGCTTCAGTTTTTAAATTTGAGTTAAAATTAATTAAAAAAATTCAATTCCCCAGTCACACTAGTCATATTTCAAGTGGTCAATAGCCGCATGTGGCTGGTGGCTACATTCTTGAAACAGTGCAGATATAGAACATTTCCATCACTGCAGAAAGTTCTGTTGGACAGTGCTAGTCTAGACATTGAGCTCTTGACTGATAAAATCTTATTCATCTTTGGAGTCCTACAACTTAACAGTGCCTGTCACATAGTAGGTATTCCATAAATGAGGGATCCATTCATGGAACCTGAGCTGGGGTGATCATAAATGGGAACCTGATGCAGACAGAGAAGGATGAGAAGACAGATCTTCACAATATGGTGTTGGGTGGTTATCTTCCAGCTGAGGAAGGACAAATAGTTATTGTACTGGAGGTTTTTTGAGCTTGGTGTTGCAAACAGCAAATGATCTATGAATTCTATTTGTTCTTCCCAACTGACTTGATAGAAACAAGAATTTGTGTAATGGACTTTTAGACCTAAGTAAGCACAGAGGCTGTCTTTGGAAGAAGGCCAGGGCCCAGTGTAAACTGGGTCCCACTGGATTAACATGGTGATTGCTGGTGGCAGGTGAGGGCAGCAGAGAACCACCAGGGTCGTGAGCTTTGAGGAGCCCCAAGGTATGGGTAGGTGGGAAAATGAAGTATTAAGGTGAACCCAAATCAGGAACTCACAGACCAAAAGGAAAGCCAAGGCTACAAAGCACAGCATCAGGAAGGATGCCAAACCCAGTTGGGACCAAGGTATAAGAAAAGATGCCAGGACCTGTGGTTTCCCATCCCACCTTAGAGGGAGGTTTGGTCTTTTCTTTCTTTATTTTTATGTAAATTATAAGCAAATTGAAGAAAATTAAAGTTAGTGTTAACCACACAGAAGTGTATAGCCAAATCACTTGTTTAAATTTTTGGTGTATTTCCTTCCTATATAGTCATTATTTTGAATGCATGTTTTGTTTTGTAAGTGGATTCTAAAAAAAACCACCTTAATATTCTGTAAACATCTTTCCATGTCTTTACATATTCTTAGTATTCTTATACATCATTAAAAAAATTATTTATTTATTTATGGCTGTGTTGGGTCTACATTGCTGTGGGTGGGCTTTCTTTAGTTGCAGCAAGCAGGGGCTACTCTTTGTTGCCGTGCGTGGCCTTCTCATTGCAGTGGCTTCTCTTGTCATGGACCATGGGCTCTAGGTGCGTGGGCTTCAGTAGTTGTGGCACATGGGCTTAGTAGTTGTGGCACACGGCCTCAGTAGTTGTGGCTCGTGGGCTCTAGAGCACAGGCTCAGTAGCTGTGATGCATGGGCTTAGTTGCTCCTCAGCATGTAGGATCTTCCCAGACCAGGGCTTGAACCTGTGTCCCCTGCATTGGCAGACGGATTCTTAACCACTGCGCCACCAGGGAAGTCCCAAGAACACTTTTCTAAAGACAGCTATCATCTTTCTCTTTCTGAATTACAGATTCCCCAGGGATAGGTTGATAAAGAGGTGTTTGGTCTAAAATGGTCTTTTCCTAGAACTGAGTGGAAATACCTTGGATGACTGGACAGCCAAGAGTGTTGGAGCAGTGACCCAGGGTCTGAGGATGCCTGCTCTACCCCTGATCACTCCTGGGGATTTGTGTAAGTCACTTCCCCTTTTGGGGCCTCATTTCCTCATCTGCAAAGCAAGGGGTCTTCAGTGGTTTCTTTCCATCTGGAGATTTCTCAGTGAGTCTCAAAAACAGATTTTATTGCGGTTGATGGATAGGTCCATGATGTGGATTGTGGTGATGGTTTCATGGGTATATACATATGTCAAAGCTTTTCAAATGGCATATTTTAAGTATATGCAGTTTATTGTATGTCATATATATCTCGATATAGCTATCTAAAAAAACTTATTTTATCCAGCTTTCAGAATGATGAGGCGGTAGAAAGGATGATACTCTCTTCTGATAAGCATCTGTTTATATTGTCAGTAGCAGAGAGAAACAACAGTGATTTCTGGAGTTTTCCCTACAGCTTCCTACTAAGGCTTGTGCTTTCTCCTCCTCCAACTTCTTCTATTCATTAAAAAAAATTACTGATTTCATCCATTCCAGGAAATGTTCATTTTGTTCATCTCAGGCATCATCCTTGAGTCCTCACTCCTTTTTGGAATGCCCGAGGTTCAGGAGCAAGGGGTCTGAGCTTCAGTTGGATCCCCAATGTGGCTCTAGGCTCATCCCCACTATCTTTTTCAGGAAGAGAAGAGAGCTGTCATGTCCCTAACACTTACAGTGAACTCAACTCGTTGGGTAGTAACTCTCAGCAAAAATTCCTCTTTGAAAGCATATTGTAAGGGAGATAAAACAAATTCCTACAGTGGAACTTCACACACTGTGACAATTGGGTGAGGAAATGCTCAGAGGCTGCTGTGGAGGTGGCTATCTGCCCCTCCTTTCCAACCTACTGGTATATACCCTTTTCCTGACTTCTCCTATGCCCAGTCAGGCACCAGTCACTCACCAGGGACTCTGATTCTTCCACTGAAATGCCTCTTGGAGCCCTTCTCATGCATTCCCAGCCACCACCCAGCCCAGATGCGTCGTTTAAAAATCTGGATTTCTCCAGGAAGCTCCTTGCTTGGCTTCCTGCTTAAAGCATCGGTTGTGCATGATTCATCATTCTCAAGACTGCAGTCACTTACCAGCTCAGAAACCTTCTGAGGCTCTACATTTGCTCCTTTCATCAGGTGTAAAGTCTTCTGCTTGAACTGTGAGGCCCTCTATCACCTTCTCGTATCTTCTTTTCATATTCTACCTTCTCCACCATGCCCAGGGTCAGGTCTGCCCAAGTGGGGCAAATTCCCTCCCAACTCTATCGTGTACCATTTTCCCCCAGTTCTCTACCTTTCTCATGTTTCCAAACCACCAGAAATCCATACTCTCCTCAGCAAATCCTATCTGCCCGTCTTTTCCAAGAAGCTTTTACTGATTCTGCAAGTACCTTAATTTCTTTCTTTCTTTTTTCTAAAAAATTATTTTATTTATTTATTTTTGGCTGTGTTGGGTCTTTGTGCACAGGCCCTCTCCAGAAGTATGTTAATTTCAATTCATATGACTACTGTCTACTTGATAGGTGCTGGGGACATGAGGATGAATTATGGTCTCTGCCTCTTGGTTTCTTTCTTCTCCCCAACACCCAAGAGAATGAAAAAACCAGAAACACCCGTAAAGTAGGTACTTGAAAATTCTAACCCAGGGATTTAGAGCCTGTGCAGATAAAGAATTTGACACTGAGTGAAATGGAGCAGGACCCTTTGGTCTTTGTCCCCCAGGTCCTCTGCCTGCCTTTTGTCTGTGGAAAAACTTTAGCCAAAAAATAAGTTTAATCAGAGAAGTGAGAACATGCAGAAACAAAGGAAAATAGTCAAAGGAGACCAAATAATAGTAGTTTAGTCATTAAGCATAGTCAAGGACCTTTAGTTCTTTCTCAAGGGCTATAGATAATATCCTGAGCCCTATCCTGTGAGCTGTCTTATAGATACTGAAACCCCCGCCAGGTGGAAGAAGTTAAACTACGTGATGACCAGGCTGTAGCCATGACATAAGCTGCCACGATTCCAAGAATTGGCCTCAAGGAAATGGGAACAAACAGACTCTGGAACTGAAGACCAACTATACTTGAAACAATCAAGATGATGCTGGTCAGACCACCTCATGACCAATTTCAAGATGACGGTCAGAGCTGACTGTGCTGTTTCTGCATGCAGCCCCCTCTCTCTGCTTATAAAATCTCTTGCCCCTGATTGTCGGAGTAGGCCTTTGGACAGATGTCTGCCCTTCCCTCACTCCCCCAACAGTTGTAGGCATCCAAAATACAGCAAACTTTCCTTTCCATAAACCTGGCCTCTTTATTGGCTTTTGAGCAGCAAGCAGCTGGACCCCACTTTCGGTTACAAGAGGACAGATGAAAATTTCCTTGTGTCTGTTGGTTGATACTTGCTAGGCTGAATATAGTGTGTGTGAAGACTAAAATATAATAAAATATGAATCCTAAAAATAGAATGGTGTATCTTCTCCTTTTGCAATGAAGAGCAAAGTCAGATCAATGTAGATGTATGTTTATAGACAAGGAAAGGTTGCCTTTGTTTAAAAAAACCTTTGTTTAAAAATCAGAATATATGTTATGGTCTAATCTTTGTTAAGAAAAAGCTCTAAAACATTGAAAGAAGTTTGGAAAGATATACTCCAAATGGTTTTCTTTGGGTGGAGGAATTATTGGTGATTAAATAAAACACTTCCTTTTAATCCAAACTTTCTGTAACAAGCAATTTCATTGTCATAATTAGAAAGACATTTTCATTTTGGGAAAAAGCACAGAAACAGGGACATCAATTTGGTACAAATGCAGATGGATCACTTTAGAAACAGTTCAAAATTGAATATTAAAAGGCCTTCTGTGGGCTTCCCTGGTGGTGCAGTGGTTGAGAGTCCGCCTGCCGATGCAGGGGACACGGGTTCGTGCCCTGGTCCGGGAAGATCCCACGTGCCGCGGAGCGGCTGGGCCCGTGAGCCATGGCCGCTGAGCCTGCGCGTCCAGAGCCTGTGCTCCGCAACGGGAGAGGCCACAACAGTGAGAGGCCCGGGTATCGCAAAAAAAAAAAAAAAAAGGCCTTCTGTTTTGTTTTAATATAGTGTGAGGACTGGAACAGGTCATATCTACGGGGAGATACAGCAGATATGGACTAAGTGATTGCAGTGTTTCAGGGTAAACATTATAAAAATAAACAAATGAGGCAACTAATGGAATGTGATAGACAGGATGCCTGAGTAATTACTATAAATGCTGTGCCCCTTTTCTGTCAGAGACCCAGGAAAGACTTTAACCTCTAGGTCTATTAATCTGGCTTCTGTCACTGGTCAGAGTTAGTGGCACTTTATGTTCTAAATCATAAATGCATGATTTGCCCTTGGTATGCTCTAGCAATTTTGTTCTCTTTCCATCAAAGTTTGTTATCTCATTGAAAGAATGTAAAATGTATGGATTGGTGATATCACACAGGTGGGTGTCTACAGTCTTGAGAATTTGACATGCAGGTGGGAATTTTACCATGTGGGAATTTACTTGAGTTCTTAGACTGCCAACAGGTCAGCCTCAGCCGTGGTCCCTATAAATAAAGTTCAGGAGTGACACTGAATTCTGGACTCTTGGAAGATCCTTGACTATGCGATTGATCCTGTTTTTTGGTGTCCTTTTGGGGGCATATCTACTGTGGAGAAACATCTGTGGGGTAAGTTATGCTTTCTGATGCCTATTTGAATTTTGCTTACCTGATTCACAGAATATCTCACTGCATTGTTGCAGACTAATGAGTGTAAGCGTTCAGCATTTTCAGAGTTCTTTTAGATTTGGAGAGGAGGTAGTGGAAATAATAGGAATGAGTGATAAAAAAAGAGATGAATGAATTTAAAGGAAAAAAAAAGTGAAAACGGAGCACATGCACCCTATTTCTCTCTGTCCTTAATCTTTTTCCCTTCTGATGATCAGAATGTGGGGATGACAGACATCAGTGAAAATAAAGCTGTTTGGTCATTGTCTCTGTGTCATCTTAGTAAGTGCTGGGTTACTCTCCCATCCGCCTCCCTACCTTTCCGGACTTCATCCTCCATGTCACCTTAAGTCCTTCCATCTTCAGATCTAGTGTCTAGGCAGTGGGACCTCATGAAGTGGGAGGACCAGAGCTGCAGACTTCAGCCCAAATCCAACTCTCATGGCTTTGTAGGATCCATCTTTGCTCCAAAGTACTTTGGTTTCAAGATTCTATGAAGAGCTTTAGACAGCATTTCTTGAAGAGTATTCCAGGGAACTAATGAAGTAGCCAAATAAATTTGGCCCAAAAAAGTGGATGATCAAATAAATTTGGGAATCAGAGGGTTAAACAAACTATAGAATTTCTAGGAACTTTTACTAAATTAGTGTATATTGTAAACCTATAAGAGGGGATCTAGGTTGCTGCAACTATCCTTTTTTTGATCCTCAAACTCCTCCCCACATTTATTTATTTATTTATTTATTTATGCTGAACAACTCAAAGGGCTGTTATTCCTTAGAACACACACCAGGAAATATTAGCCCAATGTATTACTTTTCCCAGTGCCTTCCCATTTTAAAGGAGGACTCCTGGGAGTCTATACATTAACCAAAAGGAATGAGACTCAAATGGAAGATTTTTCAGACCATCTATGGCCAATGGATACTGGGAGGCAGAAGAGACTTGAAGAGCTCACATTCTATCACTTATGTATTCCACTGGAGTTCACTGGAAATTGGATGATATTTGATTTCAGAGGGTCTGGGTTCTGGTCCCTTATTATGGCTCTTTGTACCAATCCCTTCCCCACTGCATAAATGGGCAGGGTGGTGATTCAGGAAGTCAGCCTACTCAGAGAAAGGGAGAGAGGAAAAACCTCTGTCACCAAGGAAGGGCTATAAGAAATCCAGCTCTACTACTGGACTTTTTTTAAAGGATATTTGTTTCTTGTTTTGCAACTTCTCTTTGCTGCCAAGGAGTCCTTGATATCCTTTATTACTCATTGTGTGTGTGCGTGTGTGTGTGTAGAGAGAGAGACACATACACACACACACCATGATTTGTCTGGGTTTCAATTGTCCCTAGCAATACCCCAAGTCTGGGCCACATGAATGGGGTTTGGAGATGGAACTCTGATACATTTCAGTTAACAACAAAAACACCCTAGGTCTACCCAGATGTAAATTTGATTCCTCTTTTGAGCACTTATAAGCACCAAATTAATTCTACCTTTTAAAAACTTATTTCTGAAAAACAGGAACAGACAAGTTTTAAAAGCCGATGCTTTATGAGCAGCAGGTGTTACTTGATAATCATTAGCTAAAGGAAAGGTAACTTTACTGGCAAAGTTCCTGCTAGGATTAGGTACAGCTCTTAATTATTATTTAGATAACATTTCCTTGGGGGAAGTGAAGCCATTCTATCAACTCCTCATTCTGGGGATGTGGGTCAGTATACTATTTATTAATTTCTTGATTGTCAAAGAGATTACTGACTGCTGCATTAACCTCTTATGTGCGGAGACTAACAGGAGCAGAAAGCAACAGGAAACAGTGTCTAGGTTTTGTTTTTAAGGTCATGTCTGTGGGTAATATTTTTTAGAGACCAAGTTCTTGAGATCACACCAAGGAATGAAGAACAAATAAAAACTCTGGTGGAATTGGAGGCTGAAGAACATCTTCAGATATCTGTCCTGGAGGGGGCTTCTGTTTCCCAAAGTGAATACTCCACAGTTAGACACGATGACTAAGATCTCTTACTTTGGATTGTATCTTGTCTTCTCTGATGAGAAGTATGGAATGCTCACTCATGGAGCTGGGATCCAGAACTCCTGGGCTGTAGTCCCAACTGTATGACATTGGGCAAGTCATCTACCTTCTGCATCTCAGAGAAGGTAGGTGACTTGCCCAATGTCATACTGACTTCTCTCCCATTCAGTATAATGAGGATAAATATACCATTCTTCTATCTCACAGATGTTTTGTAAGAACGAAAAGAGAAATCAAATGTGAAAGTTATTTTGAAAAATTATTGAATAACTTTAATGCATTATTTCCCTCCTAAATAATTTATAGTATTAATATTCTGTTATGAAATGATTTGGATCACCTGAATGTCAACTGTTAAAAAAACTGCCATAGTTTTAAATAATCTTTACCTTCTTCCAGTTTTAATATTTAACCATATGGGGGGAAAACCATATAACACATATGCTGATGCTTGGACATATAACAACACTTCTTGCAACATCACAGCGATTCCACAACGATTCTAGTCTTGGAGGCTTGAGGTAAAATAGATAACGAATTGATTTCTTGAAATCTATCCACGCTGAGCTGTCCATTTCCCTGGAATGACCCAGTCATTGCCTTGGCCTTTTATCCCTTTCAGCTTGATTTCTGGAAATCACCCACCATCCCAGGAGACACAATCCATGTCTGAGTTCCCTTTGTCAGCATCCAGGCAGTCAAAGTTTCCTTAAATCCGAGGGAATTGCTTATTCCATTGTGATTGAAGATGTTCAAGTAATTATCCCACAGCCCAGTCTTCCAGAGGCTTGCTGGTCCATATGAACTGAAGGTCCATCCTCTTTTATCTTTGGGTACCCTCTGCCAGGGAAGGGACCTGTGGGTACCACTAGGGCCTTCCTGAAGTCTGGACTACCCCTGCAGTGGGTAGGAAGGTTCTATCCCTCTCTTTTTTGCATTTGGTACAAGTGGATATGGTAATAAAAAAATGTAATGGAAAGGGCAAAAAAGAGTCTCTGGCATGAAATACAAAGGGCAAACTGAAGAGTGTGAGTCAAAGTAGGCAAATATAAGTTGTTACTCATTTAGTTTTTAATTGGAGGTTACCTCTGACCCTGGGTTCCCAGAAAGGGAGAATGAGCCATAACACAGCCACAGGACTGACTGTCATCCTATATTTGCAGCATCTGTCTGGCCCGAAGTCTCATTAATGCCCCATCCCCTTTCAGGGTGCTGCCAGAATAAGGGAAAGGCATGACCCCAAAGCCTATAGGACAGAAAGAAGAATGCTTGGGATTGGGGCCTGAATCCACTTCCCTCACAACTGTAGATTCAAATGCATTGCTATAAACTAATCATAGGTGTGACTGATTTATCTTAGGTTCTCTTGGACAAGGAGAATGAAGAAATATTACTCAGAGAACAGAATGTTAACTTCAACTTTGAGGCTTATCTATACCTTGGAAGAGGTAGGTGTTTCAAAATGAACATCAGAGAAATGGGCCATGCTTTCCCCTGATAACAAGGCCTATACTTCCACTTGGTGATTTAATGGAAATTATTCTCATATTATCTCCTAACTTCTCCAAATTTCCCTAGGATTTCACAGCCAGTATCAGTGTCACTGCCTTAAGTTAGGACCTGAAGCCCATCTGCCCATCCCAGCAGCCACTGCATTATTTAGAAGTGTTCAGGAGTGGCTTAAGTGAGCACAAGACAGCCTCTAATGCTCACACTCTCCCCTCGAGGTCCCCTGGCTGATTTCTGACCTGTGCCACCCACAAGCCATCTGAGAGCTGTGCTTCATGGCTACCACTGATGATGGAATCAGGGGACACTTGATACCACTGACTTCCAGCCAACGGTGGAGTCTCCCAACCTGCCAAATTCTCCTAGACCTCATGACAGCAAAGTCTTGTGCAATTTCTCTGCTATCTTTCCTGAGTTTTGTTGGTGTGAAGAATGCCCCTTCCTTCCCCTGGATCACCTGGACAGTGCTACATCTGCCTCTTTGTGACACATAGCTTTTCTTGGGGGATACAGGTGTCTGCTTGCACTAACTGATTTGGGAGGGTGGGGGAGGGGATGAGGAGATGGGGGTTGGGGGTTAAGGAGAGAGGTGGAGGAGCAGGAAAGAGCCAGAGAGGAGATTGTCTGGTAGGTGCTGATTCCCTAAATCAGCAATTCTAAAATGCAGAGAACTTAGAAAACAATTTTCCCCCTGCATTTATTTGGTGGCAAACCCTGACCCGAACTAAACTCATTTAGGGGCAAAATCTGACCTGAACTGACTTGCTACTCACTTATTTTACTGCCAGAAATATTAATGTGCTTGAGTATGGAGCACTGCCACATGTGTAAAATGTATTTTTCTTTTTAAAATTGCACACACACACACACACACACACACACACAAATCTTAATTTGAAATATGTATGGTCCCTAAAGGGTTTCAGAGTAGGGACTGTGGACCAGTACAGAGAGTGAGGGAGAAAAGGGAGTGGCCGAAACAGGATGCGCTCCCTCCTTTGCCTGGCCTCACAAATTGCTGTACACGTCCTACGGAGACCAAATGCTGGCAACAGCTGGAGGAGCCGTTTTCATGCCGAGCACTCTCCAGACATGCCCAGACATGTCTCAATCCCAGTAATGGACACAGTTTGGGTGCCCCAGCTGTACAGGATTGCAATCAGCCCTGCAAATAGGAGCCGAAGTGGCTTGTGGCAGAAGTGCCTCTGAGGCAGGCACCCCGATGCCCCGGCCTGAACCAACCCGGCTGCGTTTTGCAGCGTCTGCTTCTAAATCACCTTTTTTTTTTTTCGGTGGCACTACCATTTGTGTTCCTCTGCTAGTGAGGGGAAGATGCTTTCTGGCTGGGGAAGTTCCACCTCAGAGCTGGCTTGAGGCAAGCCACAGGGCAACCAAAGCAGTGCTATTTTGTTTGAAGCACAAAACTGGAAAGAGCCGGCTCCGCTGCCACAAAATGGCTTCCCTTTTCCCAGCCCCTACGGATGCCCAGTGACTCATCATCTCTTAGCTTTGATTCCAGCGTCCCCAGTCCCACAGCATCTGCCGAGTGGCCCTCTCCATTCCCTGAGGGAATGGAAATGGAGGAGAGAGAAAAGTCACTAATGGATGCACCAGATTATTCATTTGCAAATGTGTATTTCTTCATCTTAAACATTTCAGATTTCCTGAGAAATGGATAACCTCGTTGCTGAGCACCCTGGTCTAGTGAGCAAAATGAACATTGTCTATTCTTTCAAAAACCGGCCCATGAACGAGCTCAAGGTACACAGGTGCAGTGATGATTTTTTCCTCTCGATGCTTCTAGAATCCCCGTCTTCCCAGGCGGGCCGTCAGTACAGTCTCTGCCTGCAGAGCTGTTCCTTTTTTTTTTTTTTTTTTTCCCTCTCCTAACCAGTCCTTGCTGGTTTTGACTATCCACCTCCCTGCTTCCCCCACCTCCCTTTCTTCTTCTTTTTATTGCGCGAGCTGACGCAGGTCTGCAGGAGTGAATTAATGTTCTCCTCTTGATAGATTTGCTCTCAGGGAAACAGGCGTATGCACCAATAGGAACAGAGGAAGGGGGAGGTGGTTCGGGCCCCTGGGTGAGCTGGGAAGGGGGAGGTATTCTGTAATTAATCAAGGTAGCCGTGCTGTGCCTTGTTTTTCTTTTACTCGTTTCTTTCTTTCTTTTTTTTTTTAAACCGAGAGTTTAAAAAAAAAAGAAAAAGAGATAAAAGTTCCGTACTTGCTGGAGCCTCATTTAAAACCAAAACAGTTCTTGTGGTGTGCAGAATGATGGGCAACCAAATGGCAAAGGCAAATGCCCTGAAACGCAGGCATTTTTTACTTGCTAGCCGGAAAAAGGTTATGGTTTTACTTCAACCTGTACACGCTGACAACAGTTAGTGCTGATAATTTCAAGCTTTTTCACCTTGCCTTGCAAAAGAGTGAAAAGTATTTCCCCAAATTTCCTAGAAAGAGTTTGTTAAGGGTGGGGGGGGGAAGATAATGTCACAACTCCCTGCTAAATTTGGAAACATTATGGCTGAGGACCAACGGACTCACTGGGACAGATGGATTTCTCCAGAGCGGTTCTCCCGAAGGAGGCCTGGGAGGAGTGGTTTGCCTACTTTATGACACCGCGGCACATTTGCTCATATTTACTACCTTCTTTTCTTTTGATTTCCTTTTCCCTGTTTCTCCTACAGTTGGGTCAGGAAACCCCAGGCTCTCCTCCCCCTTGGATTTTCCTGGACTTTCCTTCTCCCGGGTGTTTCGGTGGTTCGTGGTTGAGAATGTTATTTGTTTTCCAAAGTTCCCTATGTGAGCTCTTTGGAGGAAAAAGCATGAAACACTTTAAAACTCTCAAAACGCTTGAAAAGTAATTTTTAGCAGGGATTTACATTTCTCATTTACCTTATCTGTGATGTTTAGAATGCTGCAGGAAGATAGAAGTTGATGGTGCAAAAATAATCTTTTCCTCCCCATTTACTGATTCAATTGGCAAAGCCACTGTTCCAAATAAAACTGAGTCCCTTAGATCATAAAATTTAAACTCTGGAAAGGACTTCCAGACCCTACCATCCTGTTTTTATGAAGGACTCAGAAGATTACCACAAGCATTTTTATTACAAAAATAACACAATCATTGCAAAAAATGGAGAACAGAGAAACAAAAAATGAAAAACATCCCTATTTTACTAATTTCACAACTATGGGATTGATAGCTATTAACATTTCGTTGTATATCTGTCTATTTTTTCCTCTCTTTTCTTTTCCCCCTCCCTTTTTCTCCTATGTCTGTGTGTGTACATATATATACATACACATGAGTTAGCCTTTTAAGAAATAAAAATGGTATCATACTATTTGGTAATCTATTTTTAAAAATTTATGGCATATGATGAACATATTTTCATGTCATCACGTTATCTGCAATGATTTTTTACAAACATCAAATGATGCCCTTCTTGTTAGCCTGTATTTAAGTTTATATTAAAGGAAAGGGACCAAAAAACCCTACGTTAAATGAAAAGCTAATTGACAGCATCACTGTCTACACCTCCTCCTTCTCAATCACATCAAGTACAGAAAGAGGAACAGACAAGGGGTGTGTGGTGGTGGAGCCATTCACATTTCCACGCTTGTTTTGCAGTTCAGCACGGGAGGAGACAAGCTGGCTATCTGGCTAGAGGCTGGGATCCATGCCGGTGAGTAGGTTACACAAGCTACTGCACTGTGAACTGCAAATAAGGTCATTTTACTCCAAATTCCCCATTTATTTTGTCTTTCTGGGGTCAGGCCCCACCTAACCTCACAGCAATCCCTGTGGTCCTATGGCTGACGCTCTCATCCCAAGTCCTTCTCTTGTCACACAGTCAGGAAACAGACCCATTCAAACCTAATTTGGTATTGCTCCACCCAGCACCCTGGCATGTACCTCCGTACTCCCGCAACCTGCTGGCCACTGCATGCTCTGTTAAAAGATAGTGAGAGCTATGGGCTTCCTTGGTGGCGCAGTCGTTAAGAATCCACCTGCTAGTTCAGGGACACAGGTTCAATCCCTGGCCTGGGAAGATCCCACATGCCATGGAGCAACTAAGCCCGCGCACCACAACTACTGAGCGTGTGCTCTAGAGCCCGCAAGGCACAACTACTGAGCCTGCGTACCACAACTACTAAAGCCCGCGTGTCTGGAGCCCATGCTCTGCAACAAGAGAAGCCACTGCAATAAGAAGCCCGTGCACTACAACGAAGAGTAGCCCCTGCTCGCCGCAACTAGAGAAAGCCCATGCACAGCAATGAAGACTCAATGCAGGCAAAAATAATAAATGAAATAAATTTAAAAAGAAAAGATAGTGAGCTAAAAGAGATTAAGAGGGTGACAAGTAAGGACACCAAGAGTCAGATTTCAGCATAAGAACAGATTAGAGAACATTGCTTTGCTGCCTGGAGCTCCTAGGGCTGTGGCACGATGTACTAGAGATCTATAAAATCACAAAAGGAGCTTAGATAGAGAATATAAATGGGCTAGAAGAGTTTACTTTGACCTACAGATACAAAGTGGAATGAACTCGTTGAGGGTTTTTGGGTTCTGAAAAATTTCCAAATCTCACTTAAAGTTAGGGTGTAGCGATATGTCTCTTCCACATGTTCATTGGAATTAGAGTCAGGACACCGTTCTGGGTGTGACCTAGTCTGGTATTTCTTAAGTAATTCAAAAATGACGTGCTATAAATCAGAATGTTAATTCATGAGCAAAGGAAATCAATCCACATCAGATCATTCAAGCATGTGCAACCACGTGCTTACCGGCTGATACATTTTTCCCTTCAATTAAAATGCAGTTACCTTTAGGGTATTATGAAATGGATATTTAACAGTTGAATAATAATGCCTTAGGATGGCTGAGCACAGGAAATGAATAAATTTTAATCCAGCAGAAACCTCAACTCTACTGCAATTGATCACAAGTAGAAATGTAATTCCCCAAATGGAATTTAACTGGTTCTCTGGGTCTTTAGAGAAGTCTCTGCATAATTAAGTAATCTGATGTTGGTCGTGAGTACTTTTGAGAAGGTATAGCCTGTGTGGTGATTAAGGAAACTGAAAAGATTTCTTTGGTTCATAGATCCCTCTGAGCCACAAACACAGTTGCCCACCATTGCAAAATGCCTCACTAAAATTAATTGGAAGAATCCTGCTTTTGAGAGATAATGGATAAGTGATACCTGATTTTTATTTAATATAAGTAAATTATTCTGATTGGAAATAAAAGTATCGACACTGGCATATTAAACACGTTAATAGGAGATTGGACTGTAGTCCTGGAAGACTCTCACTGACCAGCAGTGTTAGTTTATGTTTGGAAAAAACACATTGCCTTAATATTCTCTCCTCTGTTCCCTGGTGAAAGGGGAGTGTGAGATTGATATATATGTTGTCTCTGCTCAGATTGCCTCTGATTATGGAAATGACCCATCCATCACTTTGATTGGATATGATGGACATCTTCCTGCTTCTCTGATGGCTAAGTGTTCTCTCAAACCAAAGGAAGCCTGGACTTTTTCTCTTCAACAAGAATTTAAGGAGATGTGTAGGAACTTCAAAACAAAACAAAAGTGATTTTCTGTTCTTGATTTACCCTAAATGGAATGCCTCATCTCTCAGTAGTGGCCCTGAATTGAGGCATATAGTGATGTTTACAATCATTTCATTTTCCAACACATGATATCTTTCCATATTGCCTTGGTCAGAGCCCATTTCAGCTGTTAGGCTGGGCTATTAGAGTTCAGTGTTCACTGTGAGTCACCTAGTAGATTTGTTCCAATTATCCCTGTGTTTTGATGGTAGGATTGATAGAAAAGAGGAGGCTGATGTTACCTGCTGACAATTAGATTGCTGTAGGATTTAGGTAGGCAGTACAATGCATCTGGCATTTTACTTACAATCTGTAGAAGAAATCCTCTGTTATATCACAAAAACAAGTTATGCAGTTTTTTTTTCTTTAAAAATCTCATTACACAACACCATTATGGCAACTGTGACCCCATGTATATTCAGAATGAATCAGAGCTTCAAGTTTATTTTTGAAGACAGCAGACTACGATAGCATTTTTCAACGCGTGTTCAGAAGGAACTTGTAGAAATAGTAGTACTCATCTCATGAGATACCCTATGAATAAAGGGTTCCACAGTCAAGTTTGGGAAATACCGCCCACTGTATCCCTCTCTTGGAGCTTGATAAAAAACATTAAAGCATTAAAAAAAACCTTTAGAAATTCTGAAGTAAATTAGCCAATTTAACCCTGTTATTTTCCCAAAATATTCTATCACAGAACCCTCGGGCTCTCCCCACTATTTTTTTGTTTTTTAATTTTTGTTTTTTGTTGTTATTGTATTGTTAACTTTTGAGAGGACTGTGGTTCTACGGAACATGGTTTAGCAGGTATTCATTGGAGGAGATGGGGGCTTATTTACTTCTCGCCTCGGTGAGACGGCTGAGAAGCTCCAAGCAGAACCCTGTGTGAGGACTACTGGTCAAGTCTGTGGGCAAGGGAAATGAGTGCAATTCCAAAAGGGCCTTCCCGTGAGGGATTGGGAGAAATTAACAAAATTCTAAAGGAAACTTCTCATTGGACTGAATGACCGTCTTTTTTTTTTTCTGTATTTTCTTTCTGTTGGGATTTTAAAGAATCGTATGTGGCAGAAGACCCAGTTCAAGGTATCTGGAAGCCTCAGTGTTGGTGTTGATCCTAACCGGAACTGGGATGTGGGTTTTGGAGGTGAGCATGGGGACTTTCCCCCAGGGATAGTCAGATGTTGTCTGGCCAGATAGCTATTTGCATGGCTCTGCAGTGCTGTCAGCCTGCTAAGCCCATTCAGGATTGAAGCTATTTAAAAACCTATTTGAAAAACACTTCACTAAATTCCCTTCACAGGCACACAGTGCTGTCACTGAGCTCTGAGGAGCATTTAATATATTTTGTCTCACATCTTGGTTTTCCCATAAGCTGTATCCCGGCTCAGCTTCTGAGCTTCCAGAGCAAGACTTTGTGTGGTGGTGGGAAGCGCCAGGAAGCCCTGAACCAACCACTAGAGGGGGTTGGGATCTAGTCACAGGAGAAGCATTACATCATCTATGGATGCTTCGAGAAAGAAAACTAAAATGAAGTACGAATAAGATTAAGAAATTGATTTTCAAAATAGATTCAAAGAGAAAATACTTGCTTCCTGCTCTGCCTTTGTTGACTTACAGCTCTAATTTTTCGGGGTCCAGTGCCAGGCTGGTTGGGGGGCTCCTTTTTGCTTTCAGGCACCAGTTAAAACCCCTTATGTTTCTCTAATCACAGAGTTAAAATGTATTTGGTTTTTCCTCATTAGGTATGATAGCAGTAACATTAGAAACTGTCTTTTCCACTGTAGTGTTCCTAACACCTAGCATAGTGTCTGGCACATAGAAGGCAATCACTAAAGACTTGAAAGACAGATGAATTAATGAGAATCATTGAACCAAGAAAGGATACACTGACAGGATATGGATGAGTGGCAACTTCATTCATCGCTTTTACAAATTCTTTTTTTTTTTTTTTAGTGTAGGAAAGAAAAAAATCAAAGCATCAGATCCAAAATACTGAACAATGTCCAGCAATTCAAAGTTAAAATTTTTCCTGGCTTGTTGTTCTTATTAAATAATCTCCAAATGAGGTGATAGGTTGTATATATATTTTGTCCATATCATTTAGAGACTCTGTAGAGTCCCAGCCTCTACCTGTCCCTTCAGAGTTTCTCTAGCATTCAGAGCCCTGGCCAGGCCACAGTGGGCCCACTTCAGTGGTCATGGGTAACTCCAGTAGCTGAGAAAATGAGGCCAAAGGTAGCCTTTTTGTCAAAAGTAATTGTGACTTCCTCACCACAGAAAGGGTATCAGAGGTTCCTTGCATTTGTGGCTTTGTGACTTAGAAGTACAGATGCATAGAATCGTCTACTCTTGGGCTCTAAGAATTGGAAGAAGTCCCAGAAAATGAGCTTGCTGAACTCCCACCCAATGCAGGAATTCCATCTATAATATTAAATCTAGCTTTTCTTCCAACAACTCCCACAGAGAGGAGATGATTTAATTTGATAGTTCTTTCTGCCATATAGAGGAGCCATGTTTTTAAAGAAGAGAGATGTGTCCAGAATCTCTTGAGTTAGGTCTCCTGACTGTGTCTTTAGGTAGTAATTCAATCTAACACAATGACAATCTTGCTCTGATTTCCAGAGGAGGAACTGAAGTGATGCATGGTAACTGCCTCCATACACTGTCTCCTTAAAGCTCACTGTTCTCACTTGGCATCTTCTGCATCCCATCACAACCTGGAGCCAGCAACAATCCTTGCTCTGACTCATACCATAGACCCAGTGCCAACTCTGAAGTTGAAGTGAAATCCATAGTGGACTTTACCAAGAGTCCTGGAAAAGTCACGGCCTTCATTACCTTCCACAGCTATTCCCAGCTGCTGATGTTCCCCTATGGGTATACATGTGCCGAGTCACATAAATTTGATGAGCTGGTAAGTTTCTGAAACTTCATTTCAGATACAAACATCCATGGTGTGGACAAATAAGTTTCAGTCATAAAGATAGGTATTGAGATGGGGGGATACTTGTGACAGGTTACAAACATGAATGAGACATAATATGTCCAACCACTGAGAAGATTGTGACACAGGCAAAGGTTTGAAAGACTTGCCTAAATTAAATTTCCTTGGGAAATAGAATTCATGAAATTATTGTTGCCTTTATCTAGATGAGCAGGAGCCTGATTCGACTATAAATTCCCAGGATGTGTTTTCTGTTGCTTAGGAAATAATCACTTGGATTTGGACCTGAAGCTCTTGGATCTGTAGTCAGTTGCTCTATGCTAAGCAATGCTGCCTCTCAGCTCTTTGCCTTATACCTTCCTGGTGTCTTTGGCTCTGTGATCCGTCATCATGCTGCACTGGTGTATGCTGGGCATAAAACACTTCCCTAAGGTATCACTTGATACCCTCCATCGTCTTTCCTGTTTCAGGAATGAGCAAACTGGTGGCAGCCTTAAGTCAGATGGTGACATCTCAGGGGGCTGCTTATAATTGAGCAAGTGCTACCCCAGCTGAAGAGAATGTGCAGATATTTCCAATTTGGCTTTTAGGCTTGGTTTTTGAAACCCATATATTAGAGATAAGCCCTGAGATGGGACCTTTTGGTCAGTTTACTTTCAACTAGATTGTTGTCAGCAGCTAGCAGAAATGGAATAGATTATTCAAATTCAGGTGTATCTTTCATCTTATCAGTTGCATTTTAGCCCCTGTAAGGCAGTTTTCAGGGTTTTGGTGGTGAATATTATCACTGAAGGTTGAATCAAGGGAGAGAGAATGTCAGAGTTGAATATCAAAGGTACTTTTAGTAGCTCTAGATAACCTTACGTTACCTAAACCTGGTGCTTAAATCTCTACCATATAGTCATCCAGCCTATGATTGGATAGCTCCCTGCCTCCAAGGGAGCCTTTTCCATGTTGGGGCAGATTTGATTGTTTGAGCTCAAGCCTTCTGCTTATGGTTTTCACATACCAGCCCTGGTTTATCGTCTTGCTCCAGAGAGTAAGTTTATTTCCCTTTGAGAGACAAATTCATTAATTACTTGAAGGTAGTAACCTGCTTCTCCTAGGTTTTTCCTTATCCTTGCTAAGTACCCCCGTCCCTTCAAGCCCTCAGAATATGTCCCCAACTTCCCTCACCCTTCTGGTTGCTATTTTACGAATATGCTTTGATTTGTCTGTGTTCTTCAAGGGCAGCTCCCAGAAGTGAATGTAAAACTCGCGTTGTGGGGTTAACAAGCATAGCGCAGAGCATGACCGTAACTGCCCTCATCCAGCTTATGCAGTTGAGGGTCACATTAGTTTTTTGGCAGTGGCGTCGTGCCGTTGACTCATGTTGGGCTCATTGACAGCCGAAACCCCCAGGCTCTCTGAGTATTCTGCTGAGCCAGGTTTCCCCCATCTGGTAATTGTACAGTCGTTTTCCTGGACCCAAGTTCAAGACCTTACATTTATCCCTAGCAAGGACAGAAAAGCCTCGATCAGTCAAAATTGGAACCCTCAAATAATGGAAAATACTTTCCTGAGCTCTACTTCTTGGAAAAAGAGACAATCATAGGGAAATAAGCCAATGTAGGGATCTAGTTTAAAAAAGAAAACCAACTTCCTGGATACATCCTTGAGTCAGTACACATTCTCTTTAGCCCCTTACTCCCACCCTATTTCCATCCACACTCCTGAACAAGGAGAGCTGGTGGCAAAATAATGACCCCGGTGTATTTATTGCAAGAACCTGAAAGATCAAATAAACAACGAGGGTCTGTTGTATTTTCAGAGCCAACAGAAGTGAACTTGTGCTTACTTCCCAGTGAAAATGGTTGAAACAAAAAGGGTGTTGTGCTTAATTAACCAGAGTCCAGTTCATCAGACTGTCCCATTCTACATTCTGCAACTGGGCATCTGTTCTTCCAAGAGACAAGCACTATCTATCCACCTTTCCTTGGTTCTCTCACTCTAAAATGAAGTGGCCCAAAAGGCTGCCCAGTCTCTGACAAGCCTGCACAGCACCAAGTACAAAATGGGACCTGTCTGCTCAGTCATCTGTAAGTATCTAACGTGTTTTTACAAATGACCCACTAAGATAGCAGGCACCATGTGATTTGGGGTCAAAGCCTTTAAATGCTCTGACATGAAACGGGTAGGCCTTAAAAATGCAGGGAACCCAAACTTAACACAGTTTTCTTCGGCAAGGCTAGATCTCCTCCATGATATACTTACTATGTGGTATTTAGAGCAAAGAACTTCCTAAATATTTGAGTTGTGTGTTCTCTGCTCTGCTTGTCCTGATCCTTAATGGCTCACTCTCATTATGTGGAATTTCTTTGCCTGAAAATGGGCATTTATCAAGACTCTGACCTAAGTTACCACTTTTATTAATTACCCATTTCTTGACTAAGAGAGGCTCACACCATAAGTAAACCCATGGACTGTATGTGGGGACAGAATGGGTGCAACTCTTAAGAGGACCCAGAGGTTTCAGTGGATAGACCCTGTTGCAGCCATTTGTCCATGCAGAGCTTGGGGAAACAAAGAGGAGGACATGTCAGGAGTAATGGCAATGGCAGGTATAAAGCTTGGGAGCCTGCTGTCAGACTTCCCGATGCTCCTCTCTCCCATAGTAAATCGAGATAAGAACAAGAAATGACTGCAGCGCTGTTGGAAATCCTAATGCACCCACATGCAGATTCTTAGTCCTCCAAAGGAATCCCCTCACTTTGTTATGGACAAAGCCAGAAACTCAGGACCCCACAATTGAATGCCCAGGAGTTCCCTAGTGCTCCCATGCCCATGGATCCTTTGGAAACAAATGACTTTTGTAGGCACCCACTGTGCCTAAAACACACGCTTTTATTGAGCATATATTATGTGCTAATCATTGTATATGATTATATACCTGTCTCCAAGTACTGGAGACATAATGAACCCACAGAGAACTCACTGTTTAATATGGGAGATGAATGGGAAGAAAAGCTTTAGTATGATATGTGCAATAGTAGGCTATACATGGTACAAAAGTATTAGAAAGTTGGGGGGATTTGATTTCATCTAGGAAGAGGGCAGGATTTTGAAGGCTAGAGAAGGGGAAGAAGAATGGGACATTCTGGCTCATTAACAGCACATGCAAAGGCACAGATGTGTGAAACTGCATGATGGGCTCTGTGAACTACAAGAAGGAATGAAGGTGGTAACAAGAGTTGGGGGAGTTCAAGTTTTTGTGTGCCATATTAAAGAATTTAGGTTTTAACCCAAAGGATTCTGGAAGCCATTGGAGCATTTTCAGCAGGGCAGCAAGCGCACTGAGGCATTGTGTTTTAGATAAAACACATTAGCAGCAACATGGAGGATGTGGTGATGATGGACTAGAAGTAGGAACATCCCACAAGAAGAGCAGGAAGAGTTCAGAGGAGAGATGATGGCTCACACTACAGCAGTGCCAGTGAGGAATGAAGGGAGACATTTACAAGGTAAAATCAAAAGTTTTTTGTCGTTTATCAGAAGTGGAGAGTTTCTCACTGATGGTCATTGAATGGTGCCATTAACTGAGGGAGACATCCAGGAAGGTGAAGGAGGGGTGGGGTTGGAAAGATGAGTTCAGCTCTAGACATACTGAGGTTGAGATAAGTGTGGTGTTTTCAAGTGGAGATGTCCTGTAGGCTTTGGGCTGTATACCCCTGGGATTCTGCAGAGAGAGAGATTTAAGGGTAGTTGACACAGGGAAGGTGGTTGGAACAGGAGAGCAAGGAGGTCATCTGAAGTGGGAAAAGCCCTGGACAGAGGAGGGGAGTAAGATGTTAAGCAGCAGAAGTGGTTAGCAATGATGGAGGGCATGGCAGCAGGGCTGGGCAGAGAGGCCAAAAACCTTGCGTTTCAGAAATCAGGGAAGGAGCAATTGTTGGGAAGGAGGCAGTGGTTAACAATGACAAAAAGGTCACAAAAAGGTCAAATGTGAAAAGGACAGAACATTTACCATTGGGTTTTCATTACTAGCTTATGGTGACTGTAACCAGAGCAGTTTCAGAAGAGTGAGGGTTACTGGAGGAGTACATGGAATGGGAGAAGGGGAGGCCCAGTGAGTAGACTACTCTTCAGAGGAGCATGGATGAGAAGGGAAGGAGAGAGAGGAATGGAGGGTTTTGTTTTTGAGATAAGAGATTTGTTTATTGACTGTGGGAAAAGGAACAATAGAGAGGGAGAGGTGGAAGATATAGGAGAGAGAAGAAATGACCAAGGCAGTGCTGTTCCAAAGAGGGGGAGAATAGGGGCAAGAAAGGGATAAGCAGAGGTGGGCAGATCAGGCTTGAACAAGAGGAGAGTGTGCTGACATGCTGGGGACACTGACGTAGCTCTATCTGTAAGAGGGTGATGGTGGGAATCTGAGGGAGAGCACACTTGTTAGTAATGGTTTTCTTTTCTTTTCTTTTTTTTTTTAAAGCATACTTGATTTTTTAAAAAAATTTATTTTATTTTTGGTTGCGTTGGGTCTTTGTTGCTGCATGTGGGCTTTCTCTAGTTGTGGTGAGCAGGCGCTACTCTTCCTTGCAGTGCATGGGCTTCTCATTGCGGAGGCTTCTCTTGTTGTGGAACACAGGCTCTAGGACGCACAGCCTTCAGTAGTTGTGGCACGTGGGCTCAGTAGTTGTGGTGCATGGGCTTAGTTGCTCCACGGCATGTGGGGTCTTCCTGGACCAGGGATAAAAACTGGGTCCCCTGCATTGGCAGGTGGATTCCTAACCACTGTGTCACCAGGGAGGTCCCAGTCATGGTTTTCTTAATGGGAGTCTTGGAGAGCAGAGGAGTAATAGTTTACTCACCGTATCTGGAACACTTAATGGAAATCCCAAAACTACGGATTTGGTAATATTTCAGAGCATGAAAGTTTCTCTTTTTTTCCAGATTATGGTTTTCTCTCTTTCTCTCTTTCTTTTTTGCTATTATGATGTATTTTTAAAACTTCATAGAAAAAAGAGTCTAATAATGATTATACTTTATTATCAGTTTCAATTTCATTAATGTTTTGTCATTGAACACAAATATATTTATCTAGTTGTAATCAATGTCTGCGTTTAGCTTTTTTTCAGGTAACATCATTTCCCATATAGTTCTTTAAAAAATTTATTTTATTTATTTATTTTTTTTTGTGGTACGTGGGCCTCTCACTGTTGTGGCCTCTCCCGTTGCGGAGCACAGCCTCCGGACGCGCAGGCTCAGCGGCCATGGCTCACGGGCCCAACCGCTCCGCGGCATGTGGGATCTTCCTGGACCGGGGCACGAACCCGTGTCACCTGCATCGGCAGGCAGACTTTCAACCACTGCACCACCAGGGAAGCCCCAAAATTTATTTTATTGAAGTATAATCGATTTACAATGTTGTATTAACTTATACTGTATAACAAAGTGATTCAGTTATACATATACATATTCTTTTTCATATTCTTTTCCATTATGGTTTATCACAGGATACTGAATATAGTTCCCTGTGCTATACAGTAGTACCTGTTGTTTATCCATTCTCTATATAATAGTTTGCATCTGCTGATCCCAAACTCCCAATCCATCCCTCTCCCATCCCCCTTGGCAACCGCAAGTCTGTTCTCTATGTCTGTGAGTGTGTTTCTGTTTCATAGATAAATTCATTTGTGTCATATTTTAGATTCCACATATAAGTGCTATCATATGGTATATCTTTCTGACTTCATTTGGTATATAATCTCTAGGTCCATCCATGTTGCTGCAAATTACATTATTTCATTTTTTTTATGGCTGAGTAGTATTCCATTGTACATTTCCTACATAGTTTTATGTTATTTCCGCTCTAGGTATTTGTTATTCAATTATACTGCTATATCCCAGTTATTGGGCCTTTGGATTGTTTCAGCTTTTTGCTAAATAGTGCTACTATGAACATATTGGCACAAGCTTCTTTTTCTTTTAGGCGATTCTCAAGTCAAATGTAATGAACAGCTTTGGAGCTCTATCTACATATTTTTTAGGCTATTCTCTGGGAAGACTGATCTTACAGTTGCCCAGACCTTTTTAACTGTGTTCCATGTCCTCCCCTTTGGTGGGAGAACCTCCAGGGAGGAGGGCTGTGGTGACAGTGGGGTAGAAGGCCATTATGGCCACTTGAGGCTGAGGAATACATGTTTTCTCCTGTTGGCCACCTCTGAGTGGAGGCTCGAGTTCAGAATGTCAGCAGAATGGCATCATTTGCCCCTGAGACACATACATGGGGTCTCAGCCATTTTATTACAAGGAATCTAGTTTTCCACCTTCCTTTTCTGAGGTATTTACAAGTACTGTAGACCTTGAAAGGCCTACATTTAGTATGTTTTTTTTGGTAAAGTCACAGATGTTGAAGATACTTCCATTAAGCAAATGTCAGACAAGTATAGGGTTTACTGTCTGATCTTTTGTAATGTGACCGTTAATGGTTAATCAAGTTCTTGCTGCATCTCTGTCCAGAGCTGACTCTGTTATCCTTGATTCTGGCCTCATTCCAGCTTGGACAAGCACTGCCTCTAAGAACGAGTCCCAGTTAAGTACTTTTTGCCTCTTGCCCCTGATTGGTATGCAGCTCTGGGCTGAATACCTGCTTCGCTCCACCCAAGACATGGCTGGACGTCTGTGGTGGGTGAGACATTTTCTGGGCAGTTTCTCATCTGGAAAGGTCTATAAGGAGCTGCATCACAACAGGTGTTTGGTCCAGAAGTTGTTACTTGAGCCTTTCTCAGGGGGAAATAAAACACAGACCTTGGGGAGAGAGGTCTGGGTTTGAGTTATAGTTCCATCACTTTGGAACCAAGTAACCTTGGGCAGGTCACTCAAGCCCGGTCACTCAAACCAGGTTCCCTTGGTTTTTTCATCTATGAAATGGGTTGTTGAGAAGCTCTAAAGATAGAATGTAGAATAAAAGAGTTCACTAACTCGAAGGCACTATATAAATGTTGCTTGTTAGTTTCCTGGTGAACTACTCTCCTCCAGATACCTCTGATCCTTAATGTGGTCCAACTTTTCTGATGGGATCTTAGTCATTTATTGATAATGATGATTATAATCACAACTGACATTTACTGAATGCCTATTCTACATATATTATCCCATCTCCTTCACTTAATCTCTCTGAGATTTCCTCATCTGTAAAATGGGACTAATACTAATATCTACTTGTGACACAGGTGAGGATTAAATAAACCAATTTAGCATAACGTCTAACACATTTAATAAGCACTCAACAATTGATCGAATCATGAGCATTATATTATCCTATTTAATTCTCACTGCCCTATGAAGTAAGTAGTAGTATTATCCTTATTTGACAGAAGAAACGTTTGGGATTCAGATAAGTGACTGTCTTAGGTCACCCAAATAATGATTTGCAGAGTCAGGATTCAATCTGAAGCCAGTCCACTGTGGACCTCTTAGTGGGATCATCTGTGTCATGTGACCACACCAAAGGTATAAGTTAGTAATTTTGGTACCCAGGAAAATTCAGTTCAAATCAGCAGCCATTTGGTGTTTGTTATTTACCAGGTGCTACTACTGCTGCTGTGGGTGAAGGCAAAGACACAAGACACACGAGTTCATAGTGTTAATTCCCAATATTAACCACTAGTCCTACTTTTCCCTGGTATAACCTCCCTGGTCTTCCCCTTTGCTCAGCCCCATTCTTAGGGATTAGGTGACTCCATTTGACCTCTACCTGCCCTCCCTCGGATGGGCCTCAGAGCCGACCTATTGCTTAGCTCTTCTGAGTCATGATTGTCAGAAGTCTTTGTAGGCTAATGCTACCTTCCTTTATCATTTGTCATGTAAGTGGCCACATATTACACAGGTGCACATTGTTGGTTTTACTCACACATATAGGTGCTGGGCATGTTATTTGTTATCAGAGCAAAGCCTGTTCCATCCTTATACTGAAAGTCCCCTGAGAGCAGGGACCAAATCTCTTCCTCTATTTGTAATCCCTTCTCTCCCACCAGAGGAAACAATGTTTAAACCTAGCACCCAACTGAAGAAGGAAGTGGTGTAGCCTCCCTAAGCTGTAGAAGATGCCAGTAGGAGAGCAGGCAGGATTCCAAATGGGTGGGTGAAGCCAGAGGCTCCTAAGAACACCAAAGGAAGGCTAAGTATAGTGTCCATTTGAGTAACACCTTTTGCTTTTCAAATTAATCTTGTATTTTTTCATAAGCATGGCCCTCTACTAAGCTATCCCTGTTCTCAAGGTCCATGCAGATAGGGGCCTGACTTATTTTTGATAGTGGTGGAACTTAATATAGAGGTTACATAGCTGTGAGAGGCCAGTGGGAATAGTATAACCAGACTTTATTCTCATTTGCCCTTCAGACCAAGCCAGTGGAGGAAGCATTGACTGGTCCTATGACTCTGGAATCAAATAATCATTTGAATTTGAACTGGGAGACACAGATCGATATGAGTTCCTTCTGCTGGCCAATCAGATCTTACCCACAGTGAAAGAGACCTGGTTTGGCTTGAAGACAGTCATGGAGCATGTGTGAGACCACCCCTATTAAGGCTCTTGGGAATAAACACCATTAAAAGCTCTTTGGTTTGAAGCAAAGTTGGGCTGTGATTATTTATTTTTAAAAATAAATTTATTATTTATTTATTTGTTTATTTTGTCTGCATTGGGTCTTCGGTGCTGTGCGTGGGCTTTCTCTAGCTGCAGTGAGTGGGGGCTGCTCTTTGTTGTGGTGCGCGGGCTTCTCATTGCAGTGGCTTCTCTTGTTACGGAGCACGGGCTCTAGGCTCACGGACTTCAGTAGTTGTGGCACGCAGGCTCAGTAGTTGTGGCTCACAGGCTCTAGAGCACAGGCTCAGTAGTTGTGTTGCATGGGCTTAGTTGCTCTGCAGCATGTGGGATCTTCCCAGACCAGGGCTCAAACCTGTGTCCCCTGCATTGGCAGGCGGATTCTTAACCACTGCACCACCAGGGAAGCCCCTGCATTGTGATTATTCCTTTTTCTTTTCTTTTCTTTTTTTTTTTAAAGATTTGTAATTTTTTTTCCTTAAACTTATTTATTTTATTTATTTATTTTTGGCTGCATTGGGTTTTTGTTGCTGCGCGTGGGCTTTCTCGAGTTGCAGCGAGCAGGGGCTACTCTTCATTGCGGTGCACGGGCTTCTCATTGAGGTGGCTTCTCTTGTCGTGGAGCACGGGCTCTAGGTGTGCAGGCTTCAGTAGTTGTGGCTCACGGACTCTAGAGCGCAGCATCAGTAGTTGTGATGCACAGACTTAGTTGCTCTGCGGCATGTGAGATCTTCCCAGACCAGGGCTCGAACCCGTGTCCCCTGCATTGGCAGGTGGCTTCTTAACCACTGAGCCACCAGGGAAGCCCCTGATTATTCCTTTTTCTAATCCTGATATAGGAGCATTATATCTTTGATTTATGTTGCCCTTAAACACAGCAACACTGAGCTGTACCCCTTTATCTTTTTAATCCCATTTTAAGCAAAATGCTACCAACATCCTTTAAAAATTAAAAACAAAATTGTCGTGAAATATACATACCATAAAACGATTTTAACCATTTTGAGTGTACAGTTCAGTGGCACTAAGTACATTCACAATGTTGTGCAGTCATCACCATCCATCTCCAGAAATTTTCCACCGTCCCAAACTGAAACTCTGCACCCCTTAAGCAATAAGTCCCTGTTCTCCCTCTTTCTAGCCCATGGTAATTCTGTGCTCTTTCTGTCTCTATGAATTTGCCTGTTCTAGGTACCATATATAAATGGAATCATATAGTATTTGTCCTTTTGTGACTGGCTTATTTCACTTAGCAAATGTTTTCGAGATTCACCCATGTTGTGGCATGTGTCAGTTCGTTCATCTTAATAGAGTAGCATCTTAGAGCTAGAAGGGGACTTTCGTGTTTATTTATTCAGTAAATACTAATTAAGCAACTGCATTGTGCTAAGTATCATGCTAGGTGCTGTATCCTCTGGTTCCATGTTGCCTTCTGCTTTTCTGTTTCTGGTATGCTGCATCAGAAAAACTAGTGGAGACGCAAACCAATGACGCTCCTTCCTCCAGGCTGCCCCATCAAGTCTGGGTCTCAGATTCCATACAATTTCTCTTTAGACATTGGCTTCCATTAGAGATTTATATTTTCTTCATGTTGATGGCTTTCCCTGGGAGAAAAGGGTGGGAAGTGAATTTCAGCTTGTCTAGAATTCTGGGTACTTGATTCTTTAGTTCACATTTCTTGCAGATTCAGGTCTCAGCTTCTCTTTTTACTAATTTCAAAGCTGAAATCTATCATAGTGAAGTACAGCCCAGCCTTTGTGATAGACCAAGGTGGGCCTAGGAGTTCACTTCCAGTGTTGGAAGGACAAAAGAGCCCCAATAGAGGCCCCCAGCTCCACAACTCCTGACAAAAACTCTTCTTGACCAAACCTTGGACAGGCTTCCCTGAACTCTCTTTTCTACTAGCCTTGTCCTTGGGCCCTAAGTCAGTCTTAGCAAAGAATCCTGCTAAGTAATCCCCCAATCCTTGACGTCTGATTGAGTTCCTCAACCACCACCATTGATGTCTAAGTCCTTGGCCTGCCTTTAGCAATAATCTGTTAGGTCAGTTAAGCAAGAATCCCCCCTACCCTGATGTCTCCTCTTAACAGTTTGCCATCCACTGATCCCCTTGCTCTGCGTATCTTTACGTATTTGAAGTTGAACACAATTACTCTCTCCTATTGTATCTTGAATAAAGTCTTCCTTACAGTTGTAACAAGTGTCAGAATAACATCTCTTTAACACTCTCAACCATGACCCTTGGTTGAATCTACTCCCCTTGAGAAAGCGCAGAAAGTATGTAGATGGTGGGGGACAGTAGGGTGGGAGAGGCTTGTGGGATTTGGGGCACCTAGGACAGACTGAAAGGCCCTGAAAGGCCCTTCAAGAATCCTTGAAGAAGTCATGGAGATCATGAGTGTCTTCCATTTGTTCTGCTGTGACTTGGTGGAAAGGACACCAGACTCAGAATCTAGTAAATGCAAGAAAGTCTTATTATTAATAATACCATTAAACCTTACCTTTAGCTCAGATTTCAAGGAAAACTGATAATTTATTCAGACAAACACATTCCTCCTATACCACTTACCTCATATATTTCTGCCTTTTTAGTGGAGTCATAAGAATTAGGTGTCAGATTCATAACAGAAGCCACAAACTTTCATCATGACCTGCTGTCACCAGAGAAGGGCTTGTCAAGTGTGTTAAGTGTGTGGTCTTGGAGTTGGCTTGGGGTTTCTTTGATAGTCTTTATTTATTTATTTTTACTCTAGAGGTAACTTCATCTCAGGTTTATAATCTGGCCTCCTCTATCAGTATAAATTCTATCCAGCACTATGGGACTTGCGTATTTACTCAAAAGACACTATTTAAATATCAAGTGATGAGCATTATAGCACCCTTAGCACAGACTTTTCCAGCCTGAGGAGCAAGTTCCTGACCTTGTAAATCAAGAGGCTTGGCTTTTATCACTCAAAAGGAATGAAAGAGGCATCTGATGTACTGTCAGAGTTTCAAGGGTGCTTGGGAGTCATATTAGCATTTTTGAGGACATGAGACTGCCTCAGACTCCTTATAAATACAGCTTGACTCAGCCACTCTATGACTGACACCCTTGGGACATGAAGTGGATACTGTTCTTTGGGGACCTTATTGGGTCCAGCATCTGTGGCCAAGAAAAGTTTTTTGGGTAAGTTCCTTTTGGACTTACTATTACTTGGTTAGTTCAGAGATATGGGAACCAAATGGATTTGGAAATGAATGGCTGATTATACCTCAAGTGGTACGGTGCTGGACTCCTGTCCCAGCTTTGCCCCTGTGTCATCCTGGGTCAATTACTTCTCTCTCAGGCTCAGCTTTATCTGTGATATCAGGACTAGGTGGTCTCCACAGTCCCTCCCCAGCTCCCTAATTCCTGCCAATACTTTTCCTTCCTAGTTCTTATTTGTAAGGTCAGTTTCAGGCATTTCTACTTTCTTACTCCTATATTATGAATTACTAAGAATTACCAGAAATTGTTTCAATTTCTGCCATGCTTAAGGGAAAACCTGGGTCATAGGCTTTTTGGCTTAGCTTCTCTGTTAATGGTTAAGGTTTGGTGGAGCTTTCTCGTCAGCATTTGGCATATGGAGATTTGATAGGTCTTGCCTAGCCGTAACTATGAAAAGTGACATGCAAGGATACACCTGTACATTCTGTGTGTGTGTGTGCATGTGTATGCACACACATGCACACGTGCTCCACACAGAATTCCTTGAGGTTTGCAAGGGAGAGGACGTTTGGGAGGTAGGAAAGGTGAAAGGATGGTATGGTACCCTACTAGAAGATTGGGGGGGATGGAGTCAAGATGGCAGTGTGGGAAGACACGGAATACATTTCTCCCCACAACTAGGGCACCTGCCAGACACTGGTGGGGGACCTTGACACCCAAGAAGACAGGAGGAACCCCCAAGCGAATGGCTGGGGGTTGGGCCGAAGCTCCTGCAGTGGGAGCTCCAAGTCTGAACCACTGGACTAACAGAGAACCTCAGATCCCAGGGAATATTCATTGGAATGAGGTCTCCCAGAGGTCCTCATGTTGGCATCAAGACCCAGCTCTACCCAACAGCCTACAAACTCCAGTGTTGGAAACCTGAGGCCAAACAGCCAGTAAGACAGGAACACAATCCCACTCAACAACAACAACAAAAGAGACAGCAAAAGAATAAGTCACAGGTGAAGGAGCAAGGTAAAATCCTACAAGACCAAATAAATGAAGAGGAAATTGGCGCTCTACCTGAAAAACAATTCATAGTAATGATAGTAAGGATGATCCAGAATCTCAGAAATAGAATGGAGGCACGGATTGAGAAAATACAAGAAATGTTTAACAAAGACCTAGAAGAACTAAGAACAAACAAACAGAGATGAACAACACAGTAACTGAAATGAAAAATACACTAGAAGGAATCAATAACAGAATAACTGAGGCAGAAGAACAAATAAGTGAGCTGGAAGACAAAATGGTGGAAATAACTGCTGAGGAGCAGAATAAAGAAAAAAGAATGAAAAGAATTGAAGACAATCTCAGAGACCTCTGGGACAACACTAAACACACCAGCATTCAAATTATAGGGGTCCCAGAAGAAGAAGAAAAAAGGGTCTGAGAAAATATTTGAAGAGATTAAAGTGAAAAACTTCCCTAAAATGGGAAAGGAAATAGTCACCCAAGTCCAGGAAGTAAAGAGAGTCCCATACAGGATAAACTCTAGGAGAAACACACCAAGACACATATTAATCAAACTAACAAAAATTAAATTCAAAGAAAAAATATTAAAAGCAGCAAGGGAAAAGCAAAAAATAACATACAAAGGAATCCCCATAAGGTTATCAGCTGATATTTCAGCAGAAACTCTGCAGGCCAGAATGGATTGACAAGATATACTTAAAGTGATGAAAGAGAAAAACCTACAACCAAGATTACTCTACCCAGCAAGGACCTCATTCAGATTCGATGGAGAAATC